ATAACAGATTATATTTAAATTCATTTTACAATATCTTACGGCTAAAAATGAAGTATCGAAACTATTCAATGTACTCTCAGACAATAATATTAAAGCTTAAACAATAATTTAATTAGTATTAGATTATTTGGAATAATTATAAATATACTTTTTATTAAATATGATCATAATAATATCATTTTCGATGAAAACATATTTTTTTTTTTTTTTATAATCATCAAGATTCTAAAGAATACATTGGCAATACTATAATTTTATTATGAATCTTCAGTCAAGTAAGTAAAATAAAGGTTTTTGTATTAAATTATATTTAATATATTTGTAATAATATGCGACAATAATTATATACAAATTTTATATAAACTGCTTATATTTTTTAATAAAAAAAAAAATAATAATAATAAAATTTTTCCTTATAACATATCTTATCATCGTAGTTATTATGATATTTGTAATATATGTGAAAATTTATGTCTATGTAAGCAAAGTGGGAATGTACAAGAGCACATGCGCTTATTTTTCAGTAAACTCTATAATGCACACTCCGTCGAATTTAAAAAATGTCGGGAATGTACGACTTGTCGACTTCTCAGAACGCTTTCAACGATTGTACAAAAAGGTTGTGCATAGCAGTTACAAATTCGTTCTTTCCGATCAACTAGTTGGAAAATATTTTTTATTGATTTATTTTTCGGTATCACTTGATAAAACATCTAAATAAATAAATAAATTATATTTAATATATTAAAGGCATAGGCTGATAATTGAACATATAAATTATTAAAGTTTTCTATCGTTGAATCTAGAAACTTCTCGAGGTTCTTTCAATTGTCGTTTGATTTGAGGAAAATACGAATATCTGTGATTTAAAATTCATATTTTTATTCTACATTCAACTTCGATTAATTTTACGAGTGTTTTCTGAAATCAGTATCGATTACCAAGCAATAATCCCACTGGTATTTCTGAAGAATATAATATCTACATAATTATAATATCTACGGAGAAATTCTCATTTGTTTTGTGCTACTGAGTTGAACGTATAAGGGAGAAGGAATGATTTTTAACTTCATTCTTGAGACCGAAAAGCTTTCTGATGAGCAGCCATATTTTATTTCTAACTAGATTTGCTCTAAGTGTTAGCCTTAACATTATTCTCCATAGAATCTACTTTCCTAAATTTATTATGAGATCCGTTTATATATAGAAAAAAAAAAATTGAATTCTGATAATCTAATATGTTTTTTACGTATATTTTTTTGAGACATGACTAGCAGCTGATGAATGTGTAGAAAACAAAAGGAATCTCTGACCGACCGGCTTATTAATAAGATCGATATTGTTTCTACGTTTAAATAAATTGAGATTGGACAAAATTTCAGGGAAGATTTAATTCTTATTATTATATAGTATATAATATTGTCAATATTTAAACAATCTATAAATCTAGTATGCGCTAAAATAAAACACAATGCAATGATATATATATCCATAAATAAATGTTATTTAATAGATTGCTGGAATTTTTTCATAAATTTTCAAAAAATTTCTTGCACTTTATTTCATTTTTTGATAAGAAAATTATAGTATTTAATATAATTAGGTACTTTGATACTATTATATATGTTGTATACGTAACATTCTAATTCCTTATTCATATAATTAATATTAAACCCTTTGCAAATTAATTTCAACCCTATAATGCAAATGTAGCATAAATTTTGCATCATTGCGTTTTTATATAATCAATTTATTCTACTCGTATGTTTAAGTTGTATAAGCTCTATCTATAAATACATATGTGTAACGTATGTTTAGACGTGTAGGTATTAGAAATTTGTTTAATAGGAATTGTATCTATTTCATCGTATTTTTTTAATATAAAATTGAAATAATGTAGTCTTAATTTGTCAATTTCCAAATAAAACTGCTTTACGTTCACTCCTACCCTCAAAAATATGATAATTAGCATAGAAGATATTTTCTCAACTTTATATGAGATTAGTAAAATTTACATTTCATTTGCGGAACAATACTACATTTAATTAGGTGATACTTGACTATGAAATCTCGAGAGATAATTTATCGTTCAGCTAATATTTTTTCTAGATAAATATAATAGAATACGATTTGTATTTAATGAATCTTAGATAACTCTATTGATCAAATGGTAGATGATTTCACCGAGCAGGCATAGCTATTATTTGAATCAAGCTTTGTTTGCGAAATTTGCATAACGATCTGCTCCCTATTTGAGATTCGTAAGTTATAATTTCAATTTGCATAGTATTTTAATTCATTTTTCAAATAAAAACTAAGTTTAAATAAGCTTACTATATTTGAAAAATAAATAAGCAACATATTAAAATTATATTTTAGATTAATGAAATTAATAGAATATTATAAATATGGAGTGTAGATAGAATATTGAAAAAAATAGTTTCATTATATACGAATGAGTTACTGCAAAAATATACATGTTTAAAAAATCGTTTAACTAAAAGTATAGACAGGACTAATTAATTCTGATTTATCTCATAGCAATGAAAATATTAGTAAAGTAAATTCATGTGACGTTTACAAATTCAGTAAATAATAATGAATTTATAGTTGGGAAAATAGCGTTTATGACATATAAATGTACTTTAAATCTTAATTATGTTTACAAAAATCAGAAAGTATAATTTAGTTAGCAATTTTGAGAATTTTAAAAATAATGCATTTACTAACATACGTGTTTAAATTATTTTAATTTAACAAATTTTTATTTAAAAAATGTACAATTAACAGAAAAAAAGTGTATGTCATTTAACGTGTATATTGCATGTCATTGTATTTGGTATTATTGGTATATCATAATTATATTCGATTGTCCATAAGATTTAAAACCAATGACGAAACTATTGATTTCTATATAGCTTTTTTCGATTTTTTTAAATATTATATTATAGGAGAGAATTTACTGTACATGCTACTTCATATGTGTGATAATATTCATTCTCATCAGATTTTATAAATTCTATAATATAATAGGCGTATAGTTCAACGAATTCATCATACTTGATAGGCATTTATTCTTTGTCTAATATTTATTTTCATATAACACTTTTTTTAACTTCGGATTATTGAAAATTTTTAGCGTACATGCGTCACAATTTTAAACTTTGTTCATGAACTATAATCTCCATATATGTAGAAAATCTCTACGTACAGCAGGCATTAAAAAACTTCTTCACGTGATATTCATTTGTAGTTTTAGTTCGATATTCAGAATATTTTCTGAATATTGACTATGAAAGTTATGGATGCTTTTTATGGATTTACATTGTGTGATATAGTAAAGCTTTTATTTCTTGCTTCTTTGTTTTTACTTACTTTTATAATCCTACATGATTTTATATCGAAATCTTAAAAAAATCTTTTTATTTCATTTTAATAAAATAACGCGCATTCTTTGATGTAATGATTTATATGAGAAAGACAATGAAACGATAATTGAAATAATAAAATAAAAAAATTAGATTCGTTAGAGTATCGACATTAAATTAGTCACGTTAAATTAGTATACTTAACTAATTATTACACATAATGCATTAAACACATTAAGCATAATAATATTAAACATAAATATAACTGAAGAAATATGATAGTTTCAATAAATATTAATAGTTTTTCTCAATATAAAAGTTTAACTTAGTTTGGACAATCATTTTATATTAGAATATGTAAATATACATATAATCTTAATCCCATCCAAACTTTTGTGATTATCATACGTAAGTTGTGCAATTGAACGCTAATAAAATTGTATGTATATATATATATATATAAACAATTATTAACTATTAGTTAAAATTACTGTGTTTTAAATAACGCTATAGTTCTCTACAAATTTAGATATTTTAAAAATTAATAAATAATAATAAGAAAATAATATGGTAGAAATAAATTTCATAAATAAATGAAATTTTTTCAATTCCTTTTCATATTTCTTGTAGAAAAAATTTAATGTCAACTATATCGGTTACTTTCAAATATATATATATATATATATATGTATATATATATACTCTTAATATTGAAATACATATTTAATATTTAATTGATCCTATTGCTACTTTTGCGAAGTTTTTTAAAGGTTAGATAATTATTATAGATCACTGTATAATAATAGATTTATTCTCTAGAAATGCATTTAAGTAAAAAAGAAAAGTTATTTAAATTTTGTTGCACTTTTTGTTTTTCCTTTAAATTTATAACTAAATGTTCCCAAGCAAGTAGGAGTATCTATATATATATATATATATATATATATATCTAAAATAGATATTCTATACTAGAAGTAGTATAGCACCTTTTAAAATGGCTACACAACTCAATGTGACTAAACGGTTAATTCATTTAAGAAGTGGAAAGCTAGGACAGCTTTGTGAAATATGGCTTCTGAACGACCGTCACTGATGCAGTTGGCTATCAACTACCTACCATGCCGCAAATAAGTGTAAAAAAGTATTAATATTTGGACTTTGGAAAGTTCGTGAGTTATCAATATCGTAGTTATGCGTATATATTTAATTGAAAGGGCAATTGAGCTAAGCTTGTTTTTTTGGACAATTGCCAAATGATAAATCTTGGATAATTAAAATAATTTATAGAAAGTGTAAAGAGAGAATGATTGTTGTTTAAATTAAAAAATTTTGTTATTTCATCATATGAATGTGCAATTTTGTATGCTATTTGCAAGATATTAATGAAAATCAGATACTCCTGGTTTTGTATTTTACGATTTGTGGATAAAATTGAACGATCATACAAGCTGGGATAAGTAATGCAAATTTTCATAATTATAATTATTTATAAGTTTTTTGCGTGACTATATTTTGTAAAGTTATAAACTATCCTCTACTGATATATTTAGAGCCATCGGATTTTCATTTGTTTTTGCTTATTACGAATAGTATATTAGTATTTTTCAAATTAATAATATTAAATTATTATTAATTTATACATTGAATTCTTGTTATTTCATATAACCAAGTAAAGTTGGATTATTGAAAACTGTAAAATATTATTTAACAAAATCAGATTAATGATTAAAGCAAAATATTCTTTATAAACAATGATTATAAATATATTATTTACAATATTATTGAATTACGAAGGCTCTTAAACAAAAAAAATTAACTAAATATAATTCAATTATTAGTAAATTGAAAATAATGAGTTTTCAATTTCTTTAAGAAATTAATTTTATTAAGAACGATTTTAGTTTATTTTCATGACAATGAGTGACTGTTTAATATTCTAACACAATGATAGGCTGGTATATTGAAGTAAATCGTAAAATGCTGATTCGTCTACAGGGAACCACAGCAACCAATGATCAAAGCACCAGTACGATAATATAATTCAGTTTCCTAGATATCGATTAAACAGGAATTCGTTAGAGACGATCCGACGTTGACGAACCTAAGGGCGCATGAGATTGTGTTGCTCTTCAACTTGCCAACTTTATAACAATGAAATTCATCGTTTTTTGCACGATATATATTTTAGGTAGCAGTTTTGCTACCCAAGAGTTGGTTTGTCCGAAGAATTATACATTTATGGAAATTACGGGAGATGCTGTACTTTCTGGTGAGTATACATTATTTATATGGATATAAATATAGTAAGATTAATTACTAACACACAGCTTTTTATTAATAATTTGTCGATGTTTTACATAAAAATTACGTAGCACTGATTAATACATTATAATTATTTTTTATATGTACATTACGCAATAGAAGGATAATTAGATAGTGAACTAATAATATTATTATGTCTTTGTTATTATGCAATTTCACTTATTGAATATATTATACACAATGTATATGTTTCAGTATATAAAAAATTATAATTTTTTCATATATAACTTAGTAAAAAATATTTTATATATTTTTACCAAATTTTAAATTATATTTACTAAATTATAAGAATTTGATTAGAAATTTACATTTTTTTATGTCGTTATATATACAGTGAATGAATAGAACGGCATTTTCTTTCAATGCAAGCAAAAAATGTTTTCACAAAATAGAAATATTAATAAGTTATATAAATATTTAATAATTTAGTTTAAGATTATTTTTTAAAAAATTCTTGTAATTGATCAAATATAAAATTACAATATCCCTAATACTGTATATAAATTTAAGATTTTTTTTTCTAAAATAAATTAATAAAATTAAATATGTAATTCAAATTTTTAAATCTATTTTGAAAAAAGTACATAATGTTATAAGAAAAATTGATCTTTAATTTGAAATTTCGTACTCATAAATTGCATTAAATTCAGTATTTGTAGATAGTGACTATGGATCGGAATGTAATATTTCTTCATCAAAAAGTATTGACGAAGTGGCAATAGCATCGTTTGTTGTACAAACGTTGAATAAAATGGGATACGTACCTGGAGTGGAAATAGGTATTTCTTTTTTTTTTTCGGTGAATTTAAACATGTGTAATTTAATGAACATTTGTATTAATGATTTTTTATTCATTTTTACATTTATATAAATTTCCAAACATTATAATCATAAAATTTTATCGTTGATACTTATATGCATGCATTTATAAATGGAGCTACGTATTTTTATTTTATACATAATAAACCTTTCATTCTAATTATATAAATGCTCTTTTAGACATTAAGTTGAAATAAAATATATTTTTGCACAGATAATTGATTATAACAATATTTGGCTTAAATACCATGTAAACGGGTTTAAATGATCGCATTAGGATAATCGTGCATTTCTATCTATTTATTCATATTTATTTATAGTTATTTATATTTATATTTATTTTATACTATAATAATATTACATATTATTTACTATATTTCGCAGGATTACATGTCTATGACACGTGTAACGATCGAATTTCCGTGTATAAACAGGCTTTAATCTCTGCGGTGGAAATGGGTTGCTCGGCACACTATGATCTCGGTATTCTGGCACCGGAACGATTCATGGAAGTCCTCGAGTCCCTTCGGAGTCTCAATGTCCTCCCGGTCTACACTTATGGCTCCCCTAATCTAAATTTTGTTCTCATTGATGCTCTCGTTGAGTTTATCAGCACGCGTTACACGACGATTGATTTGATACTTAGCAGTTCGTGGACGATTCTCGATCGTTTTTTGAATGTCAGCAGAGAGGCTGGCATATGTGTAAGAAGCGACAAAGATATAGAACGGAGAAATAATGATACCGAACTCGTGCTAGTGGCATTGGGAGACTATAACGATGTGAGCATTTGGATAGATGAGCAAGAGAATGCCGAAGAAGAGGATGTTAAAAGAATATGGATCGTGCTGCCAGTGGATAATTCTTATGTGGATGGTACACGGTTGTGTTTTTCTTCGTATTATTCGTACGAACTAATCGTGTAAGATTTCCATTCTGCTGGTCGATATCGAAATTATTAAGTTTTCACATTATTAGATTAATGCTATTAATTGGTTAATGACAATATTTTTAGTATAGGTCAACAGTATCATTTTGATCAACAAAAATCGTGAATAGAGATATATTTCCTTTGATGAATTTATCAATAGTTGATATATGTAATGTGTTTTTCATATACAATCATTTAATATAAATATCTTCAGTACATTAAAAAAAGTTCCAAGTAATGAAAATATACTTTCTTATTTCTTATTATTTGTTTCTATTGATATCAGAATCTTAATATATTTAAATTGATTAATATTATATAAATATTAAAAGAAATATACTTAAACATAAAATTAATAATTTTATCCCAAATGCTTAATGATTTTTTCTTTACAATAAGTACAATTTTTGTTTGATCAACATATAATACATAGTTTTCAAGTATATTATTAATGATTTTTTTATTATTAAAATAGATTTTAAAATACATTATTAATGAGAAAATATAAGATTAAAATAATTTATGTTGATTTATCCTAACTATTTTCTATTTAAATTACAATTTCATTTCCAAGATAAAAAAATTTTTTTAAATCTTAATCATTTGTTTTACCTTTAAATATGTAATTTGCCAGTCATATTTTTATTTAATCTGTTTATTTATTGTAGAACAATTCGTTTCTAAAATGCTCTTAAAATTTCAAAGGGAGTGTATAAGAAAATTTCATTATATTTGCAATGTGTATTGTGTATAGCAGTTTTTTTTTTTTACTGTTTTATAATTACTTATGCTTACAGAGATCTTACATTATGTAAAATTCGTTATATAAAAACATAGTTCCGAAATTGATTATCTATCCATTAATTTATATAATATATTTGTATTATATTGAAATACTTCATTGAATTTAAGTTTTAATCATATAATTATTTGGATTAACTGAAAATTATAATATCTGATTATTAGTCTAATTATTAATTTCTCTTATAAAATTATTGTTTTTATAAGGCAAATATTTTATGAAACTATAAAATAAATGTAATATATATGTAAATTTAAATATTATGATATATATGAACAAAATATTAAAGTTAAATGTAGTTATGTAGAAATAATACTTTAACAACAAAACACGGACAGATACGTATATATGTAAATGTACACAGACATATAGATTTCTATTACAAGGATACTATTAGTATAGTAATTGGATATAAGGTTTTTATTTTAATGAATGCCTACATTTTCATTTAAGGAATAAACAAGATTAAACTACTCTTTTACATAATAAAGTTTTCAGAGTAGTTGCTAGTATTCATCAAAAGTTTATAATATTAATAGACGCGTTTAACTAACTTTATAGTTAAAGTAATAAATATCAACGTTAAAGTAATAAATTGTAGCTAAATAATTAATCTGAATTTCACGCAATATTTATGAATTATTTAAACTTTAACATATAAATTTTGACATGCTAATATCTAATCTCTTAATTATCTGTATCAATATATTTATCATTTACTATACTTTTAGAATATTGTTTATTATACTAACAATTTTTCTTTTTAATATTTACATGTAATTTATAACAACCTGTATAAAAATAATGATACTTTCGGATAAATAATATTTAATATTGGAAGTGTATGGATTGTGCATTTTATGACATTTCTATATGCGCACACACACACGCACGCACGCGTGAGTTTTGTTATTGTTTTTTTCTGATTAATATTGTTAAATGATGTTGTTAATGAATTGTTAATGAAAACGATGTTTTAAACTACATATATCTATTCAATTTTTTAAGGAACTAAAAATATTAGAAATATTAAAAAATGTATTATTTTTATTCGATACTGCGGATCTTATTTATATTCTGAATTCTATAAGATTTCTTTTTTGTATCTTTGATTAAAAAAAAAAATTAAGTCAAATATTAATTTAAAATGAATATTCGATTCTACAAATAATTTAAGTATTTTATTTACGTCGTTAAAAGAACTTTTAGCTTTACAATGTACATTTTATAACTTAATTAACAAATAAATCATAAAGCAAGTTCTCTGATTACTAGTAAAATGAAATATATATCATTTAAGTTAAATAACTAGGTTAATTCGAATTTTATTAGTAATATTTTTAGTTTAATGTTTGGTGAAAAATTATATCATATTTTAAAAGTTTTCTGGAAAATATCGATAAAAATGTCATTCATTTTTTACAGTTTTTTTTGTTGAGAATTTTCTATAATTAAACACGATCTATAAAGTCAGCAACTTTTATAACACGTTTTAATATTAATTTGTATTTTATTGTCATTTATTCGACAAATAATTAATTAGCTGCCTCATATTAGGGCCTCTTACTATCAACCTCTTATTTTTGTTTTTTTTTTTGTTTTTTTTTTGTTTTTGTTATAATAAATCAAATTTAACTTTAATTACGAGTAAAAACATTAATCAATACATTATGTAAGCTATGTAGAAATGGATAATATAAAAAGTCTACGTTGCTTATAAATACAAATTGAGTAGTATTGTTAAATAAATGTCATTAGTCTATGTAAGAATTTTATTTAAACGCGTCACTATGAGTTTCCTCGAATTTATATATGAATTTGATCATTATAAAGTCTAATAATTGCTGCATTAGATAATCGATAAATAAAATCGCAACTTAATTTATCCCATTTAACATTAACCGAACTTTTAAATTGACTAATTTAATTAATGCAAACAATAAATATATGGCTTTCAGAATTACTCCCGGAAGGATCTTACGTATTAAAGCCGGAACAGTTCCCTTTGGACGTTAGTCAAGGTCTAGAATCGGCGAATATCTCGCAGCTGCCAGTTGATACTATTATTCACTCCCCTTATCTGTTGAGTATCGGAAAAGCCATTGTAGAAATTGTTAAAGCATTTCAGGATAGAAAAGCCGAGAGCTGTCCTCTTGGCGCACTTGGCTGCACTTTTCCGCGCATGGACTCACAAGAACGTCGATCGATGAGCAACGCCCGACTCTACGAAACACTTCACATCCCCGCAAAATCTTATTCAACAAGGTAGCTTATATTGATACTTTTGCCACATATAAATATAAAAATAGCCATATTGTGTATATAATTATTCTAATGGCTCGCTTATGCTTTGCCTTCGAAGCGCACGCTGATTTTTCACGCTTAAGAGGTTTGTCCGCAATATCCATAAAAGTTTTAATTAATTAATTTTGAGGAATAATGTTATTCCTAGAATTATATTACATTTTAGTTTGAAATAATAAATTTAAATAAAAAGATGAGGTTGCAGTGCAAATTCATCCTTGTTTATGGATGTCTATACCTCACTTTTAATCTAACTTTTTTAATTTCAACTAGTCATAATGTTCTTGCATTATAAAATGATGTTTCGTCAAAGATATAATGTTATTTTCGATTTTATTCACAAATATAAATGTTCTTTACACACAGAAAATTAGAACAAAAAAAATTTTTTCTTATAGCTCAGATAAACAACAATTTCAATAAGATATTGTATTTTAATATTTAGACACGTGTAGCCTATTATTACATTAATTGTAATATCTTTGGTGAATGCATTTACAGCAAATGAACTGTAACTACATAATTTTACGTATACTATAATTGATAACTGAGTATAACTGAATATATATATATATATATATATATATATATATATAAAGCGAAATTAGAAGCTTTATAGAATTCTATGAAAAAAATTTGTTTTTCTTAAAACTACTACCAGTATTTATATCTTCTACGTCTATTAAAGTCAGATACATGTTTTCATTAAGTATTACGTAACTGATTTGTTCAGTTAAATTTATCAAGTGCACTTCTTCTATCTTTCGAAATTAATAATACTTTTCATCAAAATACATTATGCGTTTAAATTTCATTTCTCAGGTATATCTCTGTCAGATAAATCTATTTTTAATTCTAAACTGACTTTTATAAAGCATACTTAATCTTCTTTATTGTTTTATTCTATTTATTACTGTTCTGTTACTTTTTATCGTATAAATCAATGGAGATAATATGTAAAATAGTGTATTATTGAAACTATATGGAGATATGAAATTTTAGATTGAAAAAGTCTAAGTAACTCAAATACTTGTAAGAAAATTTGATGAAAAGTATAATAAGTGTTATATATAATAATTATTGGTGGGCTTCGTTAGAGCTATTAAAAGAAATATATTTAATACATATATATTTAATTAGTATTCAGATTAAAATGATTCTTTTTTACTTTTTAATTGTCTCCTAATAAATATGTATAATTGAAGCATAAATTTTAGAAAATTCATCGGTGCGTTATAATATGTCCTAAAGTTTTTAATTCTAAACTAATGTGTTATCAAACATTAATATAAATTAATTAATTTTGTAAGCAATTATTTTTATTTCAATTATTTAAAATTTGTACTTTATTTAAATTCAAAAATAAAATCTTACGAATAATTTAATAATAACATTGCAGATACACTATCTCACAGAAGATGGACGGTACGATGCTGGAAATAACAGGATACAAAATTGATGCAACGAGTGTTCATTTCCGCATACTCGCCGAGAACAAACAGTTAAGATTGCCACGTTTTTGTATTAAAAACTGTATGCAGTGTATTAACTTTCAAACTCAAGATGGAACAAATATTGATGAGTCTCCTGTCATGGAAATTGAACTTGGGACATTGAAAACAGAGTTATGGGTACCGATCGTGTTGACGATAGTCTCTTGTATAACGTTAGCGTGCTTTCTCGTCTTTGCCTTAATTCTCTATTTGTTCTTTATGGCGGATGTGCTTGATGGTAATCCTACGCTTACCATTCTTCTCATACTTTCAACGATATTTATGCTCCAGAGTATCGTACCCTTTTGTCTGTATGAGAGAGCGAAGGACACGGATCAACTGAATGCGAGCAAAATATTTGTATCTTCTCTCTCATTTGGTCTGGTATTTTCTGTTATGCTCACTAGGGCCCTTTGCCTTGCTTTTTCCACCAGTGATGTTTTTTCTCAGCACATCAACGGCTATTTGCAAAGTTTTATGCTATTTTTTATGGCGGCTGTTGAACTGGCAATTTCGACCATGTATTTTGTCCTTGGTAGCAACGACTCCGCCCATGTTATCCGGAGTCCCTTTTACATCGTTTTACTAAGTAAGTTTATAAAAATAGATTAAATACTGCTAATGCGCTATACTAATTTTATAAGATTTTGTATTAATGAGGCTTCACAAAATTTACGATCTTTAAAATTAACGATTTATTAATAATTTTAGAACTGGATCTCTGTATTAAATCACCTTTATTTATTTAAACATTATATATATATGTATATATATAAATAAATATATATATATATATATATATATATATATATATATATAGCGAAATTAGAAGCTTTATAGAATTCTATGAAAAAAATTTGTTTTTCTTAAAACTACTACCAGTATTTATATCTTCTACGTCTATTAAAGTCAGATACATGTTTTCATTAAGTATTACGTAACTGATTTGTTCAGTTAAATTTATCAAGTGCACTTCTTCTATCTTTCGAAATTAATAATACTTTTCATCAAAATACATTATGCGTTTAAATTTCATTTCTCAGGTATATCTCTGTCAGATAAATCTATTTTTAATTCTAAACTGACTTTTATAAAGCATACTTAATCTTCTTTATTGTTTTATTCTATTTATTACTGTTCTGTTACTTTTTATCGTATAAATCAATGGAGATAATATGTAAAATAGTGTATTATTGAAACTATATGGAGATATGAAATTTTAGATTGAAAAAGTCTAAGTAACTCAAATACTTGTAAGAAAATTTGATGAAAAGTATAATAAGTGTTATATATAATAATTATTGGTGGGCTTCGTTAGAGCTATTAAAAGAAATATATTTAATACATATATATTTAATTAGTATTCAGATTAAAATGATTCTTTTTTACTTTTTAATTGTCTCCTAATAAATATGTATAATTGAAGCATAAATTTTAGAAAATTCATCGGTGCGTTATAATATGTCCTAAAGTTTTTAATTCTAAACTAATGTGTTATCAAACATTAATATAAATTAATTAATTTTGTAAGCAATTATTTTTATTTCAATTATTTAAAATTTGTACTTTATTTAAATTCAAAAATAAAATCTTACGAATAATTTAATAATAACATTGCAGATACACTATCTCACAGAAGATGGACGGTACGATGCTGGAAATAACAGGATACAAAATTGATGCAACGAGTGTTCATTTCCGCATACTCGCCGAGAACAAACAGTTAAGATTGCCACGTTTTTGTATTAAAAACTGTATGCAGTGTATTAACTTTCAAACTCAAGATGGAACAAATATTGATGAGTCTCCTGTCATGGAAATTGAACTTGGGACATTGAAAACAGAGTTATGGGTACCGATCGTGTTGACGATAGTCTCTTGTATAACGTTAGCGTGCTTTCTCGTCTTTGCCTTAATTCTCTATTTGTTCTTTATGGCGGATGTGCTTGATGGTAATCCTACGCTTACCATTCTTCTCATACTTTCAACGATATTTATGCTCCAGAGTATCGTACCCTTTTGTCTGTATGAGAGAGCGAAGGACACGGATCAACTGAATGCGAGCAAAATATTTGTATCTTCTCTCTCATTTGGTCTGGTATTTTCTGTTATGCTCACTAGGGCCCTTTGCCTTGCTTTTTCCACCAGTGATGTTTTTTCTCAGCACATCAACGGCTATTTGCAAAGTTTTATGCTATTTTTTATGGCGGCTGTTGAACTGGCAATTTCGACCATGTATTTTGTCCTTGGTAGCAACGACTCCGCCCATGTTATCCGGAGTCCCTTTTACATCGTTTTACTAAGTAAGTTTATAAAAATAGATTAAATACTGCTAATGCGCTATACTAATTTTATAAGATTTTGTATTAATGAGGCTTCACAAAATTTACGATCTTTAAAATTAACGATTTATTAATAATTTTAGAACTGGATCTCTGTATTAAATCACCTTTATTTATTTAAACATTATATATATATGTATATATATAAATAAATATATATATATATATATATATATATATATATATATATATTCTCCTTTGTTTATTTATTATTATTGAAAATATTATTCAGTTGTATAAAATGTAGTTGTATAACTGTATGGAGACATTATTTAATAAAAATTAATTTCTAAATCAAATAACTACAAAATAGTGGAATATTAAATTTTCACATTTATATTTTCTATTAACATATTTCATAATTTGATTGCACAAGTATTAAGATGATAAGTAAAGATTTATTTAATTTTAAATACTTAAAATGTCTTCTTTTTTATGAAATAGAAGAAAATTTATGTAATTAAATAATAAGAAATAGAAGAGAATTTATGTAATTAAATAATACTGCTTGCACAATAATATATATATATATATATATATATATATATATATATAAGTATATAAAAATATAAATTGGTACATACATTTTTACCTACGAACGTACGCAAACGCACTAATGACAAAATCGGATACATAGTCACATCTGTAAGCTATATCATTTGAATTTTTGCGACGTTAAAATCACATTATCTTAAGAACAAAATAAAAGTCTTATGAATTATTCAAACAGGTTATGACGTCTTCCTACTGTTACTACTATTTATCGTATGCTGCTTCATCCCCCACATTCAGCGCAACTACAATGAAGGTATGTGCTTCTTTGGTACGACAATTGGACTCGTCATATGTTGGACGACTTGGATCACCTGTTTTCTCTTCATAACTGCCGACAAACGTGACCTTATTATTTGTTGTGGTATTCTTGGTACTGCTTGCTTGATTTTTATCGGCATCTTGGCTCCGCAAACGTATTTCATGTGTATGCGGCTCTACAGGGAGAAAAATCTTGTCGGCAGATTCGAATCCATGGATTTTTCTCCTGATCCAAGAATGAATAATACTGCGAGACAGGTTAGTTTTTAATCTTTGCAATCTTTCGTACGTAATATTTTTTTAATTTTTTTTTTTTTTTGCCTCATCTTGTAACAACATTTATTATTTTATTTGAAATCTAACATTATTCTACATTATTTATTTTATTTTTAGATTTAAAAGACAAATTTACTTTATGTGACAAATTGGTTTATATAATATTTTTAAATCAAAAAAACCTTATTGAAAAAAAAACTGTTTGTAAAACTATATATGTATCGGAGCCGTATTAGTGTTTTTAAACCTACAGTTGTTACTTGGTTCATAGTCTTTTTTCCCATTTATTTCTTTATCATAAGATGCTGTCATATGCGTTGCTATTTGCTTTGATAGCATCGACTCCATTTAAAAGTTAACTTACGAAGGTAAAGACTTAAAGAGGTATTGGAAGATTTTCGTATATTCGTGAATATATCTCGTTTTAAGTTTGAATTGTTAAGTAAAATATCAAAGACAATTCACCTGGTTTAATTGCCGCCCTAAAGGAAGGTTTATTTATTTTATACATTAATGGGGAAGTTTTAAATTAAAATTTTAAATTTTAAATTTAAGTTTTAAAGACCAATACAATTGAAATTAATCATTCTCATATAGATCTGCTTCTTAGAATTTACTTATGACGATATTTATGATGCAGAACCCTACTTGTTTTAGTCGTACATTTCTATTGTCGTAAAATTGGATACTTATAAATGCATTGCCATCTACAATGATTGAAAAGTGGTGTGGCTCATAAAAATACAGATAAATAAGTAAATAATTTGTTATAGAATGCTTCAGACGAATTGAAATATAACAAGTATTTAAGATTTATATGACCATTATTTATGCAGCAAGTAATACTAAATATACTTTATGTATATTAATTCATTAATAAAGACATTTTATACGAGCATAGAAAAATCGCAGTAACATTTATCATTATCATAAACAATAACAAATTTCTTAGTTATATTTACAATAAGCGATATAAACATTTTTCAGTAATGACTTTTAATTTAAATAAGAAAATGGTAATTTTAATTTTTTAATAAAATGTCTTATACATATGATTTGAAGTAGCTCACATAATTTATCTATACGATTATTTATAATAAATGTTTAAACTAATAAAAAAATTTAAAGAAATTCTATTGATCGTTATGTAAATAAAAATACAATGTTAGATAGTAAAATTCACAAACAGAAATTACTAATTAGTTTTATTTTATACGCAGTATATAAGATTTTATTTATTTTTCAAAATTATACTTTCAATTAAATATTATTAAACAAATTACTATTAATTCTTTTATATAAAATTATTAAAATAGAATAGATATAATATTCTCAACGGAACAATTATTTTCGATAAACTATAACATGAAAACTTGATATAACTGAAATAATTTATATAATACATTTATACATACATAAATATATTGTAAAAAATAAGATTTATATTGTATAAACGTAATAACACGAATAACAATGGCATAGTTTCTAATTTTACAAAAAAGTGTTTTCTGAAACTGTGCATATTCAACCTTATAGCAATAAATCTATTTGCTCCCTATTTTATAATTTTAGCAATATAAAGGAAGATATTTTTTTTTTCAAATTCTGAATTTTAAGTCTGATAAAATGTTGATAAAATGTAGATTTATTATTTTAAAACGATTATTGCAATAAAGTATCGTTTTCATTTAAATAACAGAGATTGATTATTATTCTAGTGGCTTTTGAAATAATCATGATGTATACTAGTATTGAAATATAGTTATCCAGAAATAATCTATAATAATTATTATATCCATAAATAATATATGAATAAAATATTCTTAATAGAAATTTAGTTAAAATTAAAAATATACATTTGCATCTGAAATTAAAGTGATCTTAATATTTTCCATGAAATATATGTAGTATTTATTGTATAATTGAAAAAAATGGAATAATACATTTATTTTCTTTATATATTATGAAATGTTTTTATTTACTTTTCATTTGATATAGATTTTGTTGATTTAAAAAAAAAACAAATAAATAAAAATATAAATTGATCGTCGGACAGAAACTATAATTTTTTCATTACAAATGCATAAGGTATTTTATTAAAAATGTATTTTTATCCTTTTTATAAAAATTGAATTCAAAATATTAAAAATCATTTTTATATTTGTGAATTCGATTGAATTGAATTCGATATTTTAGTAGAATTTTACTGAAATACCAATACAAAAAATTAATAAACTCTTCCATCCAAGCGCATGCAACTTTATTCTCAATTTATTTCGGCTATTCATGGGATGAAAAATGTTTTAATATTTATATGTATTAATCCGAAAATTTTTGAAGAATAATAATAATACTATTGCTAGTCCTTGCTTCTTTAATTCCACGTTAATTGAGACGACGAATTTCTTGTAAAAAGGCGCTGGATTTGCAGTCATGTCAATCGATGTACGACTATATGAACTGCAATAATAATGACGTACCTCATCAGCAACATCATCAGCAGCAGATATCAGTGGCTAATTATTATGGAAGTGCGAGCCCGAAGAACAAGTACGAGATGAATCACCATATTCTTGAGCCCAGGCACACACCCGGTTACAGTAATTACGGATTTCGTACGGAAATGAGGGAGCTCGACGATGTTTATGTCATTCCACAGCTCCATATTGAGGATTCTGACGTGAGTCTGGACCCGCATAAATTTAAAAGTTTGCGAAAAAAAGGGTTGGATAACTGATAAAGATCACTTTGCACTTGGTATCAATGTGTTGACAATATATGTTGCATTGCATTATTGTCCTTTTAATACAAAATGCACTCTAACTATTTACTTATGCAAATATATTATTAATTCATGAAAAACTTAAAAATTACATATCAAGATTATTCATCATCATTATCATAATCATCATTATTATTATTATTATTATTATTATTATTATTATTATTACTATTATTATTATTATTATTATTGTTGTTATTATTATTATTATTATTATTTATTATTATTATTATTATTATTATTGATATATAACAATATAAAATTTACGGATGAATACGCGAATAATTTATTGTTAATATTTCTTACAATTAACGATTATTCGTGCATTGATAATTATTATACAAACTAATATCTTAAAAATATATAGTTGATTTTCAGAGGTAAATAAAAGAAAGAATCTCATAATAATTTAAAATGAAGATTCTCAATCAATTAAATTAAAATGGATTCTATGATAAGAAAACTGTATCATAATTGAATTATATTTAGAAATAGTATGCAGGTTTAAATTAAAAATTTAAATGAATTTTATTAAAAAGAAAAGATCAAAATTTCATAACAGAGTATTGTAATTAATAACTAAATTTTTCTATATCCTATTATTACTATGATTTTTAAGTATTATCACAGTATTAAAATTACTTAATTAAGTTTTATTAAATGCATATAAAAAGGACGTAGATGATTATTACACATTCAAGTAACTTTATAATATTTCATAATTCTGGAATTTAAATGGAATTCACGATAATTAATGGAGATTTTGAATTCTTTCGATAATAATTGCAAGTAAATCTTTAAGATAAATTTATAATCTTGTTTATCTTAATGAAACGATATTGTCATATTTATTTTTAAATAATTTTATTATTTCATAATACATATAGGATAGAATTAAATATATTTAAGTATTTAATTATTGTTTTACTGATACGAATACAAGTGATGCAATATGTTTTTAAGAACGTTGTTAGGTAAATATTACTAATGTATTATATACTACTATATTTATTATGTTTCTATGTTTTTAATTGAATTTTAAGTAATAATGAAGAAAAGCACAAAAATTTTATCATTGTTATCCGATTTTGTTTTATACGTTAAAACTTATAGATGTATTATATACTTTGTTAATTGACAGCCTCAGTTTAATCTTTATTTTGATATTTCACTCGTTCATTTATAAATATATTATACATGTATATATAAATACGTGCACGCGCTATTTATACATATAAATAAGTTAAAAAATTTTTTCTATGAACCGTAAGTTTGTTAAATTTATCTGATATTTAATTACTAAATAGAGTATTGCTAAAATTCTATTATAAATTAATTTTATTTTAATTTATACACCCTTATAATATAAATTTAAAAATTTTAAGACGAAATTTTTTTTTTAACTCTATATTAGTTTTCAAACTTTTATAAAATATACATGTTCATACTTCTGTAAATATACAAAAAAATTTTCTCTTGCTTTGCGTAAAAGTGTCGGTATTGTGAAGTCATTTATTATCAGCAAATGAAAAAAGGAAATATGAATAAAGCCCTATCAAAAATATGTTTCAATAAATATGAAATAATAAATAATTTTAATAATGTTATAAACCTTTATAAAGATTAAATTCATACAGAAATTTAATTAATTACTTTACATATATTACGTACAATTTCAGCTTTAAAGAAAAATATATTTTTATCAAAAACATTTAAAATTTAATTCCACATTATATTTTGAATGGAAATATTACTATAAATAAATAAAAATGAAAACGATATAAATATCATAAAAAAATGCATTGATTCGACGTTGCTTTATCAGGTTCAAGCACTCCCAAGCTTCTGTATCAATTCATTTTATAAATATAATCAATATATATTATCAATATATCAATTATTCTTGAAAACATTAAAAATATAAAAATTGAAAGACAAATACTATGTATGGAATTTTATGACAACTGTCGCTTAAGATAAATAAAATAAACGGATATTTAAAGCTGAAAAGTTCTGTTCTTGTCTTGTAGGTTAGAGAAGTCAAGCCGCCGACGGTGAAATGTCGAAAGAGCAGCAAGAGCAGGACGGAGACCCGCAATGCTTTTCCGAAACTTCCGATGCAAAAGGCCCGTAGCAGTCGTCAACGAAACGAACGGGACAATTGCATCGAAACAGAGGTCTACGTAGAGGATCGCCTCTCCCCTGTTCGCCACGGACCTAATGAACGTTATCCTCAGCGTAGTTGTAGTCCCAGACTTTCGCCCACCCACGCAACGATCCGCGAAGAAGGGGAGAGTGCGTATACCACCAGGATTACCAGATTTTAGGCAACTCTGCAAAAGATTTATTTGCCCGCAAATATTGAGGGGTTTGGATATTAAGTATAAATAGTTGAATCTTTGATGATTAATTCACATTTGTACGAAAGACTGTCGAATAGGAGAAACTCGATTTTTTCATTAATGAAGTCGTAAACGACAAATGTTATTTCTTTTTAAAGCAAAATAACAATGTATTTTTGTGATTATATAAATATAAAAATTAAATTCTATACGTAAAAAACCTTCGGGAGTTATCAGAGACAAAAATATTTTCAATGTACATAATATATCTACGTTGTTTATTATACAATTTATTTTTTACTGGTCATATTCAAATTGTCGTTTACTGAATTCAATATTTATTAGGAAAGGCTCTAATAGTTAATACAATTTATTTTCTAGTATCTGTTCCATAGTATTAAACGCATAAATTATTTTTTCCTTGCCGTACATACTTTTTCATGATAATTAACATGTATAGATAAGACGGTATTTATATTTTTTATTTATTTATTTTTAAATTTATCGATCACAATATTTCTTCGTTCAATAAACATTGTCAGAAGCTCGAGTTTATCGAATCTGCATATAATGTATATAATACACTGTACATCTCTATTAATAAGTAGCAAATGAGATATTTAAATAAATTCAAATTATTTTCATCGGCGTATAAATTTGAAATTTCAAAATAAATAATATTATGTATTCTCATGAATTAATAAACCATTTGCTATTCTTTTTTTCTGAACCTGACAAATTTTGTATCCCGTACTATCAGTCTAAATTATTATAATTTTATTTCTTTACAAAATTTTTGTATTTTACAGTTATACATAATAAAATTGACAGCCATTACGAAATTTGAAAAATAATATAAAAGTATGTAAACTCAATTTTTTTTTATTAAAAAATGAGCCTTCGATATAATCTGATTCCATGTAATAATATAATAATTTATATAAAATAATTTCACGAATTCTTGGTTGAAATTTATTAACATTAAATCTAATAATTCAGACTTGAAGGTTTTACTTAAGAATCTACTTAAGTTTGTACATAGTAATACTACTACATATATAATACAATAATTGATTTTTTATAATAAAGAAATTTTATGGTAGTTAACATATCAAATGAAAAATTGAAATATTTTCAATTAAATTTATTTCAACATTTTTTTTATTACAGTAATTTATAAATGTCAGTGATAATTCAACGCGATTAACAGTGAATCAAATCGTGCATTATTGATCAATTGGAGAAATACTTTCTCACATTACTGCAGTTTCTACAAAGAGAGGGTGAGAGAGCGAGTGAGAGGAAGGGGAGGAGATGGAAGAACGAATAATGTGAAAATGTCCGTATGACTGTCGGAAACTTCATCAACGACGCAGGTGTATAATCTGAAAAGTAGTTAGATGTGTAATGGATACTTTTTAAACTTTTAAAAATTCAACTTTTATACAAATTTAAAAGTAGATTTTAACATTATTTATTATGCAAATTGAATTTTATAATAAAATTTCATAAAGTTAAATAATTCATTCATTATAATTGGCTAAAATACATGGTTGAAGGGAATTATTAAATTTTCCCTAGTTTTAAGGTTTAGCTTATCCTTCTCTAAAGATGAATTTGATTTTTATGACGTAGGGTGAAAAATGAGCCAATAAAAATATATTTGTATAGATATTAGAAAAGGTTGAGCGAAAAAAGGAAATTACACTTGCACTCTTAACTTTAACCAAGGAAAGATTATTATTTCCAGTCCATGACGTTACCATATACGTAACTGACGTCGAAAGCCTGCAGGAACTAGATAAGCTTTTTTTCTCCCTCGATACCTGTCGCTGCTTCTTCCTGTTTCTTGCTCGCTATTGTCAGCCAATATGTGATCAAAATGAAATCGAAAAGTGCAAGGACTTGTGAAATAAGTGATCGCGCGCATGCGCTACTATTTTCTTTTGTATATAAAGTAAGAGTGTTGAACCGATCACTTTTCAGTATAGAATGTGAGTGGTGCACCATCAATTTCAATCATCTTTTTAAAAAAGAGTTTTAAGAGCTTCAAGTTCAAATGCAAAGAAATATGAATTTCTCAATTATTTACCTTAAATGTAAAACAAATGATCAGCATGTATTGGTCAATACTGGATAAAGTGTTAAAATCTTTTTAAAATAATCATCATATTGAGTATGAGCCCAGATAGTTTGTTTCTTTATTCTTTTCTTTATTATTTATGCTTTTAAAATCTACACTTACACTATATAGACTGACATTAGAAGCATGTAATTTATTTATGCACTTTTCTTATATTAATAAACAAATATTATTACAAAAATATTTGTAAATAATTTGTGAACTATATTATTTCCTATAAAATTAATTAAAAGGTTCCCATCGCGTTTCATCATGTATGAGACTAAATCGAACACTTCTAGATTTCTCTTAGTGACGTCGATCTATTTAAGCTTATTGCTCGATAATATTCTCCTTACAGTTGTTGGTGAGTTGAAACTTTAATCTTCTTATGAAAAAAATATTTTAATAAAAATATTGCAAACACATAGTCATTTATATAATTTTACATAATATATTAGATTTATTTGACGTAAAAAAGATAGAGAGTATACTTAAGCATTAAAATCTGTTCTAATTTTATCCATTTTTATTTCAAGAAATATTAATTTACTATACAATTTTTATAATGTATATTATCTTTATAAAAACATTCCAGACCCAACGTAACGCAAAAGAGTAATCAACTCATTATAAATTTTGTTTGGTTATTTTCGCTTCATTCATCTTTGTCAAATTAAAATTTTTTTTATGGAATAATACAAAAAATAATGATATTTATTATCTATATTTTTAATAGCAAGAATATTAGAATTAATCGATGAATCAAGAATGTAAAAATTAAATTTATTACTGCTAATATCCAATATAAATATTTTAAAATAATCGCATATTATTGTCTACAGAATTAAAAAATATCAATATTGTTGAATTCGATAATAATATTTGCACATAAAATAATAAATGGATAATAAAGATGTACATTAGAACAGTTATTAAAATTCGTATCAGCTTGAAATTCAAAAGAAATCAGTCTTGTTTTACAAATAATCGGATTATATTTTTATAATAAAAACAAATAATAATAATAATAATAACAACAATAACACTAATCATTAACAATAGGATAAATATATTTATATTTTTATTATTGTAACAAAATGAATCAATTTAATTATAAATAAAACAAATATTAATATTTAGTTATATTACAAGATTTAATGAAATTACCTACCGACATAAATAACAAAATGCTTAAAATTAAATTTAATAAAAATTACGTTATTCTTAAAATAAATCTTAAAACAATAATGCTTATTCTTATTATTATAATTCAATTTATTTTCATATGGTTATACAAATATTTTTGCATTGAAATAAAATAATTTAATATTAATAAGCACAGAATATCATTTTATTATTTAAATGTTATTGTTGTTTTATGATAAATTTTAAAACATTCTACTCGAGAATATACTGTATTATAGAAAAGTATAATTATGTGTTCCATTTTACACTGTAATAAGTTTATTAGCTCTCGAAAAGTTTTATTTGAATTTTTATATTACAATAGTATAATAAATATAACGAATTAAATAATTAAATTTTTTAATTTAATTTTTAATCGTTAAGGAATTATATTTCTTTTGAATAGGTATACAATAACAAATTAATTTAATTTACCTCTTTTTAATACGTAATAATTATATTCTGATTGGAGTTTTCATAATATTTTTATAATAACAGGATTAAAATCAATTCTAATTTTACAATTTCCTTCATACATGCAGTATAAACGTTATTCATTATTTCTTTACATTGAATATTGTTGAGCATCATTGATACATTCATAAAATTGTATTTAAAGCAAAGTTAAAATGTACAATGTATTATGAGAAAGATGCCTAAATAAAAATTATTATTAGTAATGATTTTTAAATAAGCAAAAAAATCTTCTACCTTAGTACCAATCATACCAGACTATCTGTACACATTGGAAGGAAATTTAACATTGAATGGTGCGGAAAAGGACGAGAATGGCCGAGTTGGATTATTGCTTAGTTCCAAAGCTTTCGTGCAGTTAATTTTAAACCCAGCCGTGGGTAGTCTAACGGGCATTTTTGGATACGCTAAGCCACTATTACTCGGCAATCTGAGTCTTTTATTGGCCGCATTACGTAAGAATTCTATCTGAAGTTCTTAAATAATATATATATATATATATATATATTGTTTATCTGATTGTATAAAATTATCGCATTTTAATTATTCACGATGAATGCTGAATCATTAGTAAGTGTGTTGATTTTATCATTCGATATAACATTAATAATATTCGATAAAATGGAATCATTTAAGATTTGTAGTTTATATCTGTTAATAATACAATATCAATTTTTATTGTAGTTTTGTATATTTTGTATTAATGTATTAATTATTATTATTTTAAATACTTATGAGAATTAATAATAAATGTAAAAACGTGGTATATTTTTAAATTATTAATTCATAATTATTTACAGCTATATTATTTCATGTTCTTTGTCCACATAATATTTAATTTTACAAAAGTCTAATATTATAAAATATATAATACAATCCATATGCACTATTGATATAATTTATACTACAAACAGTTATACATTGTTGATATACGAGCGTTATTCGTCTACTTTACATTAATTAGATACTTGACATTTTATTCGAATTATTTAATATTAATTCCAATAGAAGTGAATAAATAAATAAGAAAAAAATACTTTTCAAATATTACAAAAATATCCTATTATTAATACATATGAAGCATAAATATGATATATGATATTTTGTTTCCTCCATAGTTTTCGCTTTGGGGAAAACGTACGAGATACTGTTTTTAGCTCGCAGTATTCAAGGAGTTTCTTCAGCATGTATTGCTGTCTCTGGAATGTCTCTAGTGGCTTTTCAGTACCCAGAAGAGGACAAGCGATCGAAGGTCATGGGTTTCGTACTCGGTAGCATAGCCATGGGAGTACTTGCTGGTTACCCAATGGGTTCTGTTCTTTACGATCTTGAAGGCAAAATGGCGCCGTTCCTTTTGATTGCCTGTTTCATCGTTTTTCTCATAGGTGTATCATTACTTCCTATCATTTTATATTCATTAAATTTATATTTAACATATTAGATAAAATTCTGCAAGGCTGGCTATCTAACCAAATAATATAGACTAGAATTATGGTACAATGTATTCATCTTATAAGCAATAACAATCAATTTAACCTAAATTGATATTTATGTTATTATCTATAAAATTTAAAAATGATTTTGTTTAATGAATAAAATATTCATAATTATAAAATACTACTTTCCGATATAATAGAATACTGTTAATTTAGATATTTTATTTTATTTTCGTGAAATTACTATTTCCTTTATAACATTTAAAATTTTATAAATTTTTATACGATTTTATATAAAATAAGAACAATTAATGATAAAGATAAAATTATAAATTTTCATTATAAATTTTAGAAAATTATTACAAAAAGATTTATGCTTTATGCGAATCATTGTTTTTCCATAATTTTTAATAATCCATTATTTTTAATGATAATAATTATACTTTTCATTACTAATTAAATTGAGCTTTTATTTCATCAAAATTTATATATTACAAATGACGAGTTTCTTTAAATTAACGAAATGAATGAAATCAGATGAAAAAATTAAAAAATTACAATACTATGAAGCTACCGGCAATGTAAAGCACAGTTAGTCTTTGCTGAGAGTCATCATTGTCAAAGAAAGGTTTTTTGTATTGAAAAAAGTATATAATATATATTAAGTATATATGTATATTTGTAAAAATTAAAATGAATTTGTAAGAAGTGTAGTAATTAAAAAATTATAATGCATAAAAATAAGTTTGAATTTTTTTTTTAATTGTATTTAAAATATCTAAAATTTTTTTGTATTTTCGTAGGATTCCAATTATTTGTTCTAGACTTGAATCATGTGGCACAGGTGAAATTTTTTAAAAACTGTATGACAATATGACATTCACCCTCTTAAAATTATAAATGAAATTTTTTTAGAGAGGAGAAGGCGAACCAAGCTGGAGGTATTTGCTACTAGACACTCGAATTTTAATAATTGCCGGAGCCATTTGGTTTTCAACAACACCGATGGCAATTCTAGAGCCCTGTTTGCCCATTTGGCTTAGAAGTCATTTAAAACCGAAGGTAGTAATGTTCAGATCATCAGCTTCATCATAGTTTCAGCATTATAAAGCTGGTTCTTTTTATTATTATTATTTTCTATTCAAATTATTAATAGTGTGTAATGATGTTTCATATTATGTAGTCCATTGTAAAAATGAATAACTTTTGAATTATAAAACTAATTGGTTTTATTTTAAAATTTAATAAATTCTAGGTAAGTAAGCTCCTTTGTTTATTAACGTCATAATTTTTTATAAATTATGAAGGAAAAAAGTTTTTACGCTGAAAGTATTAAAGGACATCTAAATTTTTTGATCTTTAAAGGCGAGAACTGTTAAGGCAGGAGAATTCATTTTAAATATAAAGTTAATTGAATATATTTTATCGAAAAATATATACTCATAACATTAAAAGTTATTCATCAAGTTTATTCAATTGAAATTTCTAAACAGAATATCTTAATTTTCAAAATATTTGCTGTATATGTAAAAAAAAAAAAAAAAAAAAAAAATAAAAAAATTATCATCCAGTGAGAAAAATACTTAAGAAAACAATAAAGAATAAACATGCTGAAAAAAAATTAAATTATAAAATACTTATGCAAGGAAAATGTAAACAAAAATTTTCTACGACCCTATAGCTTGA